CTCGTACCCATAAATCGGAACCGGTGTATCTTAACCTCTCTATTATCTCAATGTCAACACGGAAAATTTCTTTCTTTATATTTCTTTGTGCTATATTATAAAACAAATATAAAACATCTTACCGTATTGAGTATTGATATACAGTTCAGTATATCAACACTCGTGGAAATTGGGAAAACTCGAAATTGTGTGAAATTTCCACACAATTTCTCGTTTTCCCAATAGACCTTTCCCCTTTTGAGTGAAATTTTGATCTAGACAAGTCTGGACAAAAATTTCATCACAGCTTGAAAGACCATCACAAAATCAGTAATATTCCGAAGTTTCGTTGCGAAATTAGTCATTTTGTATTACAAACGGGAAATTGATAATCAGTTTGATCATCTGATTATCAATTTCCCGTTTGTAATGCAAAATGACTGAAAAACGGAAAACTTCGCAAGGCGATATTATCCGCATTTTACAACATTTCGCAACGAAACTTTGGAATATTACTAATTCTGAAATTTTTGTCCAGGCATATCTAGATCAAAATTTCACTCACAAGGGGAAAGGTCTATTCCCACTCGTGTTGATATAACTGTATAACAACACGGAAAAGTGTTATATTTGTTAATTAAAAAATGGCTTGCACACAAAAATGGAGAGTTTCAGAAACGCAATCTGAATTCACAAGGTGTAAATTTGGAAGGTGTTTTGTATGAATTATCAAAGTACCAGACAATTAGGAGGTTATGCTATCATCCGCGTTTCTGTGCGTGTAAATGTATGTGTGTGTTTGTCTGTGAGCACAGAATTAACTCAAAACTATCAAATGCGGTATTAACGAAAATTTGTGGAACTAAAACTGGAGTTACACGAGCAACAAAATTAAAAATGTTTACACAATCATACATTACAAATCACAAGGCAACATGTGACGACATTTCCACTTAACATGCGTTGAAATCAGATTTTGTTGCAAGTTGCAGCAATTTTGTTGCTCGTGTAACTCCAGTTTAATTAACCTGAGTATCAGGCTCTATTTTACAAATAGAGCCTGACACAAAACTTAACCTGATCGCTTTCCGCCCACAGCAAAGTTTATATTTAGTATCCAATCAAAATGTCGCAGGAGAAATTTAAATTTCACACAACGACAACAACAATCTAATTATAGCATAGGCAGCCCACTAAACGGCTGAATTTGAATTAAAACTGCAATGAACTTATAAAATTAACAAAAATAATCACAAATTAGCGAAATATATTGCAAATGTAGCTTATATTAAATCGCCACCCGATTGCTCTCTCCTCCGCAGAGGTTTCAGTGACTACAATGAACTTTACATGGCGCTTGCCGTATTTATCAACAAACTGACGTATAATTATAAAGTATACTTTATAACTATACGTCAGTCGATAGTGCAATCTGATGGCGATTTAATATAAGCTACATTTGGCAATATATTTCGCTAATTTGCGATTATTTTCTAATTTTACTGCAGTTTTTATTTAAATTCAGCCGTTTAGTGGGCCGGCTATAATTGTAGTTGTGAATTGTGATCGTTATAACTAGTATATCAACAACAATAGTATAATCTAATTAGCACCAGCCAATCAAATGACAGATTTAAAAATCGTTTGTCTAATCGGCCAATCAGCGCTCAGTCCAGATTCTGGACTGAACAACCAGGCAAAATGCCACTTTTGTGTCAGGCCGTACTTTTCTCCCCTTCGCCCACGATCAGGCGTGCCTGTGCCCTAAAAAGTACGGCCTGATACTCAGGTTACAGTTTAATGGACATTTCCCAAGGACAAATTGATCAAATTTTGGTTAAATTTAGATGACAATATAGACCTTGCCGTTTATTCATTTTTGACCCAATTAGCCATTCCGAAGTTGATGAGTGGACTGGGGACGAGTGTTAAAAAGTGCCCAAATTAAGAAATGAACCAAACCACTAAAAAGACCACCTCAAAATTAGTAAGTATACAAAGTTTGAAGACGTTTACATGAATACCCTTCGAATAATAAGCTTTCGAAAATTGTGAAATTACTGATTAATTAAAAGATTGCTTTTGGGACGCGCGTCCCAAAAACAAAAAAATACCATACATTCTACAGTAAATATCACGATTTTCGAAAGCTTATTATTCGAAGAATATTCATGTAAACGTCTTCAAACTTTGTATACTTACTAATTGTGAGGTGGTCTTTGCAGTGATTTGGTTCAGTTCTTAATTTGGGCACTTTTTAACACTCGTCCCCAGTCCACTCATCAACTTCGGAATGGCTAATGGCCTCGTTTTTGTGTTTGCCAGTTTTGGCATGACAGGCGCCCATGAAGGTTATATTCCCATGTTTCCTTCACGATTTGGTTCCTGGTTGATCTTAAGCCCAATAACAAGTAAGTTCTTAACCCTATTGTGCACGAAACACAAGTAAATACCTGACACGAAAACGAGGCAATTGGGTCAAACGTCAATAAACGGTAAGGTCTATTGAATGCGAAATTAGCAAAAGTTCGTCTTATTTTGCCAGAGTTAACTGAATGCATAATTGGCCCATCGTATAATGTGTATGCATGATATACAGAACTTAATTCGATGCACTAAACGTTTTAAACAATATACAATGTAATAAACACCAAAGTATTTTAATAAATTGACAAAATTGTTAATTTACGTTCCTGTAGACTCGACCTCAAGTGGTAACTGCAGTGATTCCTGTTGTAAATGATCAAATGGGGCTATCAATCTTCGCCTGTCTTTGCTTTTTTTGGCCAGTTGGAATCTTTGCTATCATTAAATCGCTTGAGGTGTGTAGTGGCAAAAATCATAAAAAGTCGCTGTTATGTGGACTTATCTCGCAGACTTCGGCTGAAAAGCCACCCAAAAAGGCTAATGAGAAAGGCTAATTAGTAAATTGGCAAAAACTGAAGAGTTGAAATGCTGTTGAACAGAATTATTATGGCCGTTTAAACTGCTAGCTTTTTGTTCGCAATTATCAGTGTAATCATATAGGAAATGATAAACCTTGAGCCTCAAAGATTTCTGCGTTGTTGATGCAAGTTAGTATGAATCATGTCAGTCTAATTTTACACCTACAATCATGGCAAAAATTGAGTTGCGAAAACGTAATAATAATTTCGACTTGGATCCGTATTTTGATCTCCTAGTCGACTCTGGCAGTATTTATTTATCCGTAGACACTTCGGTGTAAACTAAAGTGTAGCTACTTTAAAAATGAAAATTAAAGCCCGGCAAATAACTTTCAGACAAGACATAACAAAAATATAAAATTTATTGGCTAACGAGTCGTAACGTTTCGTTATATTGTTCACAACATCTTCAACTTCTTCTATTGCTCTGAAGATGTTGTGAACAATACAACGAAACGTAAGCCAATAAATTTTTTATTTTTGTTATGTCTTGTCTGAAAGTCATGTGCTGGGCAATTTTTACGCTTTCCACCCGGTGTATCAATCGCTACTGTTTTAAAGTGTTACTATATTACACACACATGTTGGCGTCTTT